GATATGAAACTGGCACAAACTCTAAAGGTCACAAGTTATAGTATGTATGAATAGTTAATATTATGAGGCAATCTCATTCATAAAAATGCAGATTATATAAAATGACAGGTTTTTCTCATTTCTGTACTATCTTATATTATTTTTATTATTCCTTTATTCTTTTTTTTTTAATTCAGAAACAGTATGGAAAGTCAGTAAAACATACAAATAGAAATAATAACGATAATAATGGGCAAAATGGGATATCACCTTTACTTAAAACAATACACCTAAAAGTGAGCTTGCCCACTGGCTTGTGAGCAGTTTTCAGACATTTGCCATTACCTGTCACAGGTGTCCCAGTATAACCTCTTCCAGTCCTCAGTTTTTTGGGACATCCTTCAGGATTCACTTGGTCAAAAAGTCTGGATCGATTCTATCCGCCCGTCCAGCCATTGCACGCTTTATCAACCATGTGATCTGCTCAAAAAGTACGCACATGCACACACATGCTCATACCTGACATGCACGGCTGGTCAAAAGTTTCTGAACACCCCCAGTTTTATTGAAATTTCAACAGTTAAAGTGAAGTGAATGACCCGAAGTGGTTCAAGAGGTTATAAACAGAGTTTAGATCACCAAAAGCTAAAGAACAATGCAGATTTCTGAGTTATATTAATAAACAGTGGACAAAAATTACAATCTGGAAGCTAATACATGTGTCCCGAACGTTATTGATTTCTTCAGACTGTCTGTCAAAGCACTGTTAGAATAGACTGTAACTTATATCCTTATATCCTAGCATTTTAAGTGATTCTGTCTGTAGCATGAGTACACTCACCAGCCACTTTTTAGATACAACTGTTCAACCCCTTGTGAATGCAAAAATCTAATCAGCCAATCACATGGTGGCAAAACTAAGCATTTAGGCATGTAGACATAGCCGAGATGACCTGCTTAAGTTCAAACTGTATTTCAGAAACTGCTTATCTTCTGGATCTACTTTCTCACACAGCCATCTCTGACCCTGTTGCAGAGAATGGTCCGAAAAAGAGAAAATTCCAATAAGCGTCAGTTCTCAGCGCCTTGTTGATGTCAGAGGTCAGACTGGTTGGAGTTGACAGTAACAGTAACTCAAATAACCACTAATTACAACCAAGCTGTGTAGAAGATCATCTCTTAACGCACAACACATTGAATCTTGAAGCATCAGCTACAAACAGAATTCACACGAGCTCACCAAAATGGGACGACAGAAGATTTAAAAAACGATGCAAGCTCAAATGAGTCTTGATTTTTGCAGAGAAATGCATATGGTCAGATCGTTAGAACCACTGAAAGTTAAGCATTTTCCTTTAGAATCAAATACAAAGAAAGCCAGGTGACTACAATCGAAAAGGAATTGGAGGAAACTTCGACTGAAGGCTTTCCAGTCAATCCGAAACCACTACAGAATTAGAAGACAAGTTTCAAGAGACAGTCGATCACGTGATAGGTGGCTGTCAGGACGACAGCTTCAAGCTCAGCAGTTTTCAAAGCAAGCAAATCTTGGTTTCACTCTTTTTCAGCTGTGAACAAAAGACTTTGTGCTGCAAGTTTTGCAATTTTTGTGTCAATAAAAAAAAGTGTTAAAAAACAAACAAAATATGGTTGCCTGGGCACCAAATAGTGTGTTAATGGAGACTGGAATAATAGACTGTGTGTGTGTGTGTGTGTGTGTGTGTGTG